CGTTTCTGGGCGTGAAAGGACTTGCAATTGATCCAGTTAGCTTCAGAGATGCTCCAGGATGCGATTGGGAGTATTGGAATGCTTTGAATTAGTCTCTATGCTGAAATATGATTCACCATTTTTTTCCAAAAATTTGAGTTCTTCTTTGTGCCTTCCACAACTGCTAGCCTCTCTTCTGCACTTGGTCTTACTCAATATATATCCCTGAAAGAATTAGGGTTATAAAAACTACATGTATCTTTGAAAATTTTGAAGATTTGATCTCATTCCTTCCTTGTATGATTTGTTTCCAAATTAGGCCTAATCATGCCATTCTTGTGCCAATCCACCTTGATTCGATTTGATCCTGATATGTCAACATAATTAGCTTGTGATCTTGTCCAAAAATCAGATCAAAACAAATCTTTTCTATTAGTTGTCATTTATTTGATTTAATTCAATTTTTAATTAATAAAAAATCAAAATAAAATGGAAAATTAAGCAAATAATGTGCGGGTGAATATTTGGGTCGTGGACCATGTTACGAGTGAGGTGCAAGCATAAAAAGTTAGGCCCATTTAACAAAAAGTGTATTTTTGAGCACATTTGACTTTTGGCAATTTTGCAAAAATGGTCAACTTTGACAAGGCATATCTCTTCCAATTTTAACCCTAGAGAGGTCTTCTTGGACCTTTTTGGAAATCTTAGTATGTCCCCTAAACAACCCTTTTGATCTCATCTCAATTGGGTCTTCCATGTTCATGTAAGAAGCTTTGACCCAAAAAGTGTTTTTGTTGACTTTTCAAAAGGACCTATAATGTGGAAATTCATATCTTTTATGAGTGTATATTTTGAACTTGAGGGCTGAAGATGACTTGTAAGGAATTGCATCCTCTTCCAAATGAGCCTTGGATGGAAAATTTCTGATAAAGTATGAAGAAGTTATGCTTGGTCAAAGTTTGGTTGACTTTTCTTGAGAAACCCTAATTTAGCAACTTTTGGGTTTTGATAAATTTGGGGCATTCCTTGAGGAATCATGATCAACCCTTGATCAAATGATGGATATAACTTCAAAATATTGATGTTGACCAAAAATCTTGAAGTTTAACTGTATGTGGGCCACAATTGATTTTTGACCTAATACAGTCGATTCTCAAGCATTTGAGCACTTGACTGAGCAAACTTCTTGTGCAAGGATGCCCAAGAGTTGACCAGACAAACTCTCTCCTAAAGCAATGAACCTATAATTATGGTTTCCATTTTCATCAAGATGGGTGAGCTCCAAAGGCCTCATATGCTCTCCATAGTCCTAATATGTTCTCAAGACCCTCCATGTCAAGTTTCAAGCCTTGCACAAGAAGTTTGCTCAGTCAACTGCTCAGATGCTTGAAAATCAACTATATTAGGTCAAAAGTCAATTGTGGCCCACATACAGCCAAACTTCAAGATTTTTGGTCAACATCAACATTTTGGAGTGATATTCATCATTTGATCAAAGGTTGATCATGATTCCTCAAGAAATGCTCCTAATTCATCAAAACTCAAAAGTTGCTAAATTAGGATTTCTTAGGAAAAGTCAACCTAACTTTGACCAAGTATAACTTTATCATACTTTATCAGAAATTTCTCATCCAAGGCTCATTTTGAATAGAATCCAATTCCCTACAACTCATCTTCATCCCTCAAGTTCAAAAAATGCACTCATGGAAAGATATGAACTCAGACATTATAGGTCATTCCAAAAAGTCAACAAAAATACTTTTTGGGTCAAAGCTTCTTACATGAACATGGAAGACCCAATTGAGATGAAACCAAAGAGGTTGCTTAGGTGACATCCTAAGATTTCTAAAAAGTCCAAAAACATCCTTCTAGGGTCAAAATTGAGAAAGATATGCATTGTCAAAGTTGGCCATTTTTAGAAATTTGCACAAAGTCAGCAATGCCCAAAATTGCATTTTTTCCCCACATGGGCCCATCTTTTCAAGATTGAATCTCAGTCCTAGCATGGTCCACGACCTAGAGGACCCTCCATGATTTATTTATTTATTTATTTATTTTATTTTGATTCTTATTCATTTAAAAATCAAATAAAATCAAATAAATCCAAATAAATCATATATTTTGTTTTAGGAATGATTTTTGTATTGAATGGAGATCTTATATGCTGTCAATAGCCAAGAAAAACGTGCAAGATTGAAAAGAGAAGAGATCTCTATATTTGGAAAGATTGGTGCAAGAATTGAAATTTATTATTCTTTGGATTCATTCCAATTTTATGGACCTAATTTGATTCTCACATATATACAAGATCATTCTAACCCTAGAGGAGAGAATTTCACACGCAGCCTGCCCTGCTAGAGCAAGAACAAAGTTCCATTTTTTGTCAAAGAATTGCAAACCGGATTCCTTCCTACAAGCCATTTCCAGTCATTTAAAGGGGCAAAACAGATCCCCGGGCATCCTCTGAAGCGATTGCAAGCATCACCGAGTCTCCACAAACCCAGAAACATGTTGTACGATCATCACTGTTTGTCTTTCTTTCCAAAATTGATTATCATGATTCTTGCATCATAAACATGTTTTAATTATATGTCTGTGCTTATTATCATATTTGCAATGTACTGGATTGGTTTGATTGAAGCTTGAGTGCAGAAATAGACATTTGCCATGGCTAGGGTTCCAGAGCTCCAATTTGGGGAACCCTAGTTAGAAGAAAAATTAGGCCAAATTAAGGACCTCTTCATGTGCAGGGATTGATTTGCAATCGATCCATGGCTTTGGATGGGATTTATATTGCTTGGATTGTATTTTTGATACTTGCAGGTTTGTAGCCACGCATAAAAATCGTCACTATAGCCTAATATTTTAATATTTTTAATAATAAACTGAAAATGATTATATTTTAATATTTATTAATAACGTTAATTATATTTTATTTTTTTAATAATAAACTGAAATTAAACATATTTTAATATTTATTAATAAAGTTAATAAATATATTTAAATATTTATTTGATATTTAAATGTTAAATAATAAACTGAATAATTTAATATATTTAATATTTTTTTAATAATAAACTGAAATTAAATATATTTTAATATTTGTTAATAACCTTAATAAATATATTTAAATATTAAATAATAAGCTGAATAATTTAATATATCTAATAAATATATTTTAATATTTATTAATAACATTAGTTATATTTAAATTTTTTTAATAATAAAGTGAAAATAATATTTTTTAATAATAAACTGAAAATAAATATATTTTAATATTTATTAATACCGTTAATAAATATATTTAAATATTTATTTGATATTTAATTACTAAATAATAAACTGAATAATCTAATATGTTTAATAACTTTTTTAATAATAAACTGAAAATAAATAAATATTAATATTTATTAATAATGTTAATAAATATATTTAAATATTTATTTGATATTTAAATATTAAATAATAAACTGAATAATTTAACATGTTTAATAAATATATTTTAATATTTATTAATAACGTTAACTATATTTTAATTTTTTTAATAATAAACTGAAATTAATTTTTTTTTAATAATAAACTGAAAATAAATATATTTTAATAGTTATTAATATGTTATACTAAAAGTAAATATATTTCAGTTTATTATTGTTTTATTGCCAACTAAATTAATTTCAATTAATTTATCTAAACATATATTGCATGTTATAAATGATTTCAGTTTATTATTTCAAAATATATATTATAAGTTATCAATAAATTTCAGTATATTGTTAAAAATTAAATGTAGTTGTTAAGATAATTTGACATAATAATACAATATATACATTAAAATGGATATCATAAACAGATCGGCAAATTTGTCCAAGTGATTAGAATTTAATACTTTGAGAGAGATGTTGTTGGTTGATATCCATCTAGTGCAATATTTTGTTATTTTAAAAATAAATAAAAATAAGAAAATAAAGCCATGTGAAATTAAAAATAAATAAAAAAATATAAAAAAATCAACACAGCCATGTCATCCATTATGTTAATCAAATCCAGCTAGGGATTAAAACAGAAAAAATTATGGAATTTGTGTTTTTTTTTATAGAGTTGTTTTTGAGATTCGTCTTATATGACAGATAATAAAATAATGATTAATTTAAAAAAAAATTATATCAATAAGTCATTTTTTAAATTTTATTATAAATTAATAGTAAACCTATAGGATAAATTAGAAATATTTTTCTTATGAAGGATACTTATGAATGTTCATATTTCGATAATTGATTGATTATATTTTGTAGCGCGAAACTTTTAATTATCAAAACAAATATAATATATCACAAGCGCAACATAAATGACGGTGTCTCTACTCAGTCTACACGAATAAAGTTTGCAGCAAGATTCTTCCGCCTACAATGGTAGTTGTAAACCTATTAAGGAGTGGAAAACGGTTCAATGACATATTTTCAATAGTTTTAGAGGGGAGGATACTCTACTGTTTTATTGGTATTCTCTGTGATGCTCTTTGTAGAGAAGGATTCAATTTCAAAATATTCATGAATGATGGAGGGTTGCATCAAGACCTTCCATTGTTGTTTTATCTGAAAGTTATGCAAGTTGCCCTTGGTGTAAACCGGAAGGACTGTGATTTTGAATCATACATTTTCTTCTCAAATGTTTGTATGTGGAGATTGAACATTGGTACTTTCACCCATAATTAGTTCAAAGTGTGTTGTGAACTTGTTTTAAAGTAACTAGTAATTAATAAGTTATAAATTATTATTTCTAAGTTTACTCTAAATTACTTTTTTATATGGATAAACTTTATAGAAGAATTGTTTACTCATTGCAGAGCTTGGGCATAAAATAAAAAAGTATAAATGTCACTAACTTACAAATTCAGACAATACATGCAATATCATTTACTGCAAAAAGACTACTACCTTTACCACCATTTACAGATAAATCCATGTCCTTAGAGTATATTAATATATACAGCATAACCAGCAGTTATAACAGAAATGAAACAGTTAGGGTGTTCCAAGCATACTCCTGAGCTCGTGTCTGTTCTGATCAACACATCCCGACCTTATCAACGAGGTTATCCAGATATCATCAGCCTTAACTGACTCATCATTATCATTCCTATGCCAACTCCAGAACGCATGAGTTGAGTTTACAATCTTCAGCTCGCCATGACCAAAACTCGCTTCGCGGAATTCTGACCACTTTGGCTGTGGATTTATGTATCTGTGAACCATAAACAACAAAAAATTTAAATAGCCTTTATAGTACTTTTCCACGCAGCAAACAATTTAAATAGCCTCGTAGCAAATAACAGATTTCTATGTCATGTGTTTGGCAGATATTACTTACCTATGAGCTAAGCCTTCTCTGTTTCCGCCATCACCAATAGTTATATGAACAGCGCCACAAGGATCCAATCTTCCATTATACACGCGCTTCTGTCAATCAATCAGACAAAGCACAACTTAAGACCAAGTTTCTATTGAATCATGCTTAAAATTTTAAAATAAAGAAACAATAAAAGGCATACCGAACGTTCGTAAGCATGAACGTGACCAGCTAGAACTAGATCAACATTAGCAGCATAAAGCAATGGCTCCATGGCTGCCATCATATCATCCCCTGCACCCTGATGAGCTTTGTTGCTATTATACCACGGCACATGAAATAACACAAGCAGCCAAGGTGTTCTTTTCCGGTCCACCTTCGACAGATCTTCCTGGAGATGAGAAATGACAAAAAAATTTGAGAGAAAATAAATGTGTCAAAATAAGACTTCTCTTCCATGTTTTTTATCTAAAGCCTCTTTGGATTGACTTATTTGAATTACTCTACTGACATAACGAGCCTATTCGAGAGAGTTTATGAAAAGAGTTTTAAGAAATGTCCATAAGTTGTTTCAGCTTATTTCCAAAGATAACTTATGAAAACAACTTATAGCTTATATAAAACAGATTGATTTTATTTTATCTTTTGTTGTAGACATAGCTTATACATAAACACGTATATAACCTATTGTTATGCTATAAGCGCTTAATTAAGTTGTTTATCGAAACACGGACCAAATCTAAAGACTAACCTTTAGCCATCGGTATTGTTCCGAGTACACACCATAGTCTGCATAAGACCCAAGCATAATAACATGAACACCTGCAACTTCAAAAGAATAATAAAGATTTGAAGATGATCCACTTTCCTCAAATGGCATTTTCCATCTCGAATTATACGACACAAATTCATCTGTTAACAATAATATATTCTCCTGTTCATGATTTCCTTGCGTTACCATCCATGGCCTCGAACTCGCCAGCGGCTCCACTAGCCTACCAAACGAGTCCCAAAGATGTTGCATACAATCAGCATACGAAAGATCACCTGGAAGAAGGTAAACATCATATTTACAACGATCAATGTGATCTAATGTTGATTTAGTCCAACCAGTTTGTCCTAAATCGCCAGCCACAGCAAAAGTAATGGGAAATACCGCTGGAGGAGTTTTCAGTTCGAACTCAGGACCTTGTCCACCACATCGGTAGAAATACACAGTACCGTATTCCAAAGGTCCAATTATAGTATGGTGTATCTTTCCTGAGCTATATAACAGATAACTATAAGAAGTGAACTCTCCTTCAGCTATTGAATCATATCTACCGGCTAATGTTCCATATTCTACAAATGAAGGTGAATGTTTGTCATCAGTTATCCATGTTATTCTCATGTACTTGTCTCCTGCCAAAGAAATGTGTACCTGAAAATAAAAATCACATCATTTTTTGCATCTTTAAGAAACTCAAACTTCTAATAGATTTAATACATGTATTTTAACCTCGGGATTCATTTTAGTACTAACTTAAAAAAAAAAAATTCATATTAATACCTTAACTCTTCGGTCTTTTTTGTGTAATTAACGATGAACTTAGTGACTAGATTTTGAATTTTTTCGTCGCTAATTACACAAAAAGGATTAACATAACAAGTTTTAAAAACTTAAGGAACCAATATGGATTTTTTTAAGCTAAGGGATCAAAATGAACCCGAAGTTAAGGGATTGTTAAGAGTCTCACATCGAACAATATATGATATGAACATGTGCTAATAGCTAAGGGCAATCTTCACTCTACAAACCAGTTTTGTAGGGTTGTGTTAGGCTCAACCATATTCTTAGCATGTAATCAGAGCTTGATTTAAAATCCCTTGGGCCACCTGCTATCAGGTTTGCTATCAGATTATCCACCATTTATTTCCACACTCCAGATGTCCAATATTGGACATGAGGGATGTGTTAAGAGTCTAACGATTATAAGTAAAGGCAATCCTCACTCTACAAGCTGGTTTTGTAAGATTGAGTTATGCCTAATAATATTCATTTTGATACCTGTATGTTAACCTCGTGATTTATTTTGATACTTTAACTTAAAAAATAGTTTATATTGGTCCCTTAACTCTTTAGTCTTTTTTTTGTGTAATTAGTGACGAACATAGTGACTCATTTCTGAATTTTGCCATTGCTAATTATAGAAAAAGGATAACATAACAAGTTATAAAAACGTAAGGAACCAATATGGACTTTTAAAGTTAAAGAATCAAAATGAACCCGAAGTTAAGGGACCGTTAAGAAACTCACATCCAACAATATAGAACATGAACATGTGCTTTTAAATAAGGTCAATCCTCGTTTTAGAAACCGGTTTTACATGGTTAAGTTATGCTCAACCACATTCTTAACATAGTATCTGAGTCTAATTTAAGATTCATTGGGCCACATGTGATCAGTTTTCTAATATCTGGCCACGCACCATTTATTTTTACACTCTAGATATTCAATCCTAGACGTGAGGGGTGTGTTAAGAGTCTCACATCAAACAATAATATTGTTTAAAGATATGCTTGTAAGTAAGGACAATACTCACTCTAGAAGTGATTTTGTAAGACTGAGTTAGGTCCAACCATATTCTTAAACAAATAAGCGTTTCTAATATAATCAAATACATAAAAATAAACTACACTAAAATGTCTAGATTGTTTCATCTAGATTAAACAATTCCAGATAATAATAATAATAATAATAATAATAATAATAATAATAATAATAATAATAATAATAATAATAATAATAATAATAATAATAAAGCAATAGGGATACTAATTTCATCTAAATCAGACAATAATATTACAATTGATGAACAAGAGAAAGAGGGATTGACCTGTTGAGGGTAAGAAGGAGGATTGGATTTGGAACCCCATGGGAATGGAATGTTTAAGGTGTTTCGAGGCAAAGGGCGAACGTATTCAGCAGTTATGGTTGCAGAAAGAAGAATTGGAATGATAATAATAAGAATGAAATTGAGTTCCATGATTGATGATGATATTAAGGTTTGGTGTAACAGTAGCAGGTGGAGAGAAGGAAGAGCACGACAACAATGTACTTCCACTTCGGATCTTCTGTTTTATCATCATCCTTGTAATAATTATATTACCAATTTTGTCCTATGTGTAAAATGAGACCCCTGAATTTAAATTATAAATAACATTAAATATGTAGAGGGGAAAATGATATACTAGTAGAAATATTTGATAGAAATTTGACTCATCAAATTTTAATTTTTGTATTTTTTTTACTCTTACAATTTTTTATTTATAAAAATATTCATCCCATTTGACAAAAAAAAAAATTTTTTTAAAACAATTTTGACAATATTAATAACGAAATGTTTTAATTTAACAATTAACAATGTGAAATTACAAAATATAAAAATATAATTTAATCAAATTAATTTTATTAATCAATTACCTAAAATTACATAAAATTAATTTTACCAATTTGATGAATATAAGAATATAATTGAACAATTATGTTAGTGAAAAATATAGGAATTGTAAGTGAATTGACAGACTAATAACTTTGACCTAGTATTTGTGAGTGCAGAATTTATATATATATATATATATATATATATATATATATATATATATATATATATATATATATATATATATATATATATATATATATATATATATATATATATATATATATATATATATATATATATATATATATATATATATATATATATATATATATATATATATATATATATATATATATATATATATATATATATATATATATATATATATATATATATATATATATATATATATATATATATATATATATATATATATTTATTGATCTCTTATTTTAATCAATTTGTGAAATCCGTCTCTCTATTTATTGATCTCTTATTCTATTTTTTACTTTAAGAAATAGATATTTATTATATTTTCTAATGATTTGGCACAATGGCGCTGACATGTATCCTTCCACTTGGTCTTTATGCATAATGCCTTTAATGTTGTCAACAAGTGAGAAATAATAGTATTGAAATCTTTTGCTATTGGATTATATTTGTATATAGATAAGGATAGATATTGTAAATTAGCTAGCTTAGGTGGCAAGTTCAGATTGGCTCTTGCTTATTGTATATAGTGCAGTCTTACTGCATTTTTCTCCTTAATGAAGATAACAAATTTTTATCCTTTTTTCTTCTTCGATCTCTCTCTGTTATGTTCTCCATTATGCTTTCTCCTTCTGCAGTTTATCTTTGTTTCATGAGTTCTTCCATTGTCAACATGGTATCAGAGCTTACTAAGCTCTGGTAGCCATTGTTCTGCTATTCGCGATTGTTCTCTCGTTCTTCTTTCGTTTCCAATCGCGATTGTTCTTTCGTTTTCGTTCTTGATTTTTCCAATGGCGAACCAGAGCTATGCTGATTTTTCAACCAACTCTGCAAACCCTTACTACCTCCATCCGAACGAGAATCCAGCACTCGTTCTTGTTACTCCACCGCTCAATGACAAGAATTACCATGTTTGGGCGCGATCGATGCAAATTGCGCTAATATCCAAGAATAAGGAGAAAAATGCAGTAAGACTGCACTATATACAATAAGCAAGAGCCAATCTGAACTTGCCACCTAAGCTAGCTAATTTACAATATCTATCCTTATCTATATACAAATATAATCCAATACCACACTTAAAAGCCTACATAGAGAACCAGTTCCAAGAATAAGGAGAAAAATGCAGTAAGACTGCACTATATACAATAAGCAAGAGCCAATCTGAACTTGCCACCTAAGCTAGCTAATTTACAATATCTATCCTTATCTATATACAAATATAATCCAATACCACACTTAAAAGACTAGTCTTATTCATTTTGTTGCCTACATAGAGAACCAGTTCCATACCACACTTAAAAGCCTACGATCTGATAATGGAACAGAGTTTGTTGCTTTATCAGAATATCTCTTATCCAAAGGTATCATCCACCAAAAGACCTGTGTCGAAACACCCCAACAAAATGGGGTGGTGGAAAGAAAACACCAGCATATCCTTAATGTTGCTAGGTCTTTATTCTTTCATTCCAACATTCCCTTGAATATGTGGAATTTCTGCATACAACATGCTGTTCACATTATCAATAGGTTGCCCACACCCTTACTTCAATCAAAATGTCCCTATGAACTGTTGTTTAATGAACCCCCATCCCTTGTTCATTTGAAAGTCTTTGGTTGTCTATGCTTTGCTACATCCTTACAAGCCCACAGGACAAAATTTGACTCAAGAGCCAGGAAAGCTATATTTCTTGGATATAGGGATGGCACCAAAGGCTATATCCTTTATGATATCCACAATCATAATATCTTTATCTCAAGGAATGTTGTTTTCTATGAGAACACATTTCCCTTTAAACACAAAACCTTATCCTCTGATATACCTTCACCTCAAACGCAAAATTTGGATGACCCCCATCCTGTGATGCATAGTCCACAACCTAGCACTACTGACCTGTCCTTTTCTTCTGATATGTCTGCATCCATCAATGACAATACCACTGTCAGCTCTCCTATTACTCTCAACTATCCTAGTCCTGGCCCAGTTCCTCTCAGCCCAGCTGAATTGACTCAACATAATGACTTTAATACAGCTAGCCCTAGTTCCCCTAGTTCTCCTATCCCTACTGATGCTGACCTTTCCAATACGGATACCATATCTTTAAATTACGAACCTGGTACAACCTCTGCACCTTTTTCTGAACCTGGTACAGCTTCAGCTCCTATCACAGACCACAACCTTCCTTTACACAATGAATCTTTGGAATCCACTATAGTACCTCAACCTTCTGCTGAGAATAACTCCTTACCCTCAAGGCATTCATCTAGATCTACTCATCCCCCTCAGTACTTAAAAGATTATCATTGTTACTCCTCTACCTCTAACAACTTATCTAAAGTTCCTTATCCTTTATCATCTGTTCTTACATATGATCATTGCTCACCCTCATATAAGCATTTCTGTTTTTCTGTTTCATCTAATGTTGAACCAAAAACTTTTAATCAAGCCATTAAATATGACTGTTGGAAACATGCTATGGATGTTGAGTTACAAGCTCTTGCAGAAAACCAAACATGGGATGTAGTTGAGCTTCCACCAGGAAAAGTTCCCATTGGATGTAGGTGGGTTTACAAAATAAAATACAAGGCCGATGGCTCCATTGAGAGGTATAAAGCTAGGCTGGTAGCTAAGGGTTACACTCAAATGGAAGGTATTGATTACTTTGACACCTTTTCACCTGTAGCGAAAATAACAACAGTAAGAGTGCTATTGTCTATTGCTGCAATAAAAGGATGGCATTTAGAACAATTGGATGTGAATAATGCTTTTC